TCCCCCCGGGGTCAGCAGACCGGCTCCTCCCAGTCTCAGACAAGCTTTCTTCCCAGGAAGAGCAAGGAGGGGAGGGGGAAATCTCATCTCCCAAACAGGAGCAGACAGAAGCCAGAAGGCTGCAGGGGCAGATCCTCTGAGAGGGACTGATGGAGCCGAACTCAGACTGTGAGTGCTGGGCTGTTCCAGGGACCCTGTACCTCCCCCCAGGTCAAAAGTAGCTGCTGTGGCCTTCTGGAAGCCTGTGCTATGTGGAGGTCTAAAGATTTTTCCCAGGGTGGAGCAACAGCACAGTGGGTAGGGCGTTTGCCTTGCACGCAACCAGCCCAGGTTCGATTCCCAGCATCCCATATGGTCCCCCAGCGTCACCAGGAGTAATTTCTGAGTGCAGAGCCAGGAGTAACCCCTGTGCATCGCTGGGTGTAACCCAAAAACGCAAAAAAGAAATTTTTTTTCCCTAATGGTGTGGGAAGATGCACTGATAGTTGATTGGTTTTGGAATATTGAATATATAATAAGTCATGAAAAACTTTATAAAAAATAAGTTTTTAAATAAGTAAACAAAGGTTTTTCCTATAAAAATCAAGCCACTAGAGCCCGGAGAGACAGCACAGGAAGTGAGGCACTTGCCTTGCATGGGAATTGTGTGTGAAGCACCCCTGGTTTGAACACTTGTCCCCTGAGCACTGCCAAAGTCACAACTGAGCACAGAGCTAAGAGTAGCCCCTGAACTCTGGGTGTGCCCCCCCCAAAAAAGAAAGGGAGAAAAATCAGCCCCCCACAGTACCCCCCTGCCTAGGACAGACTGGATCATGGTGATTTACAGGAGCAGGAGATGGGAAATGTAGGAGGAACGGGGAGAGGGCTGGTGTGAAGCAGCTTTGGGGTCAGACAGAGACGGGGCAGGCTGCAGAGAGAGCAGGGCTGAGCCATGGAGCAATCAGAGCGAGAGCAGGTGGCATGGGCTGGAGAGATCCCAGCTCGTGGGTGCACAGGCTCTCCTGCCCTCCGAGATCAGGGGCACAGAGCACTGGTCTGCATCAAGAGGTCAGCCTCATTTTCATTTTATCTCTGTGATGAAATGCCATGAATCAGACATAATCACATTTAGAATCCACGGAAAATGATCTGCCAGCACCCAGCACCAGGCACATGTCCAGGAAGTGCCTGCCAGGGGTCATGTTGCCTGGGTCACTCTGGGTGGGCATCTGAGAGCTGGGCTGTTGGGGAGGGGCTCCTTCATCCATGTGACCCCACTTTCAGAAGAGACAGGGATCCCCTCGAGAGACCTCGCCCTTGATTTCATTATGGCGACTTCCTCCCTTAACTGGATTAGACGGCGGTCTATGAAATCTAGTCCGTGGAGATTGGCTTCCTGCCTGGAGAGAAGGGCAAATGACATTACAGGGCTGAATCAGCATCAGGGTGTGCCTGGTCGGAGGAGAGTCCATCTCTGCCCTGTCTCATTCTCTCCTTCCTCCTGCCCTGCTGGCCTCGCCGAAGGTCCCCCAGAGCCTGTGGCATGCTCACAGGATAGAGATTTTACTCTAACACACATCGGAGGGGCCAGAGAGAGAGTCCAGTGGGTAGAGCGCTTGCCTTGCATGTGGCCAATCCAGGTTTGATCCCCAGCATCCCATATGGTCCCTTGACCCCCACCAGGCATGATTCCTGAGTGCAGAGCCAGGAGTAAGCCCTGATAGTGCTGGGTGTGGTTAGAAAAATCAAAATTCAAAAACACTAAAAAAAAACCCCGCTGTAGCCAGAAATCTTATCTGGTTCCAAGGTGCACAGAGGTGCTGGTGGTTTGGGGCATCTCCAAATGCAGACATCATAGATGGGGGGAGAAGCAGGTGAGGGAGCCCATAGTTCCCATAGGGAATACAGTCTGGGCTTGGTAGGAAACAGCGAGGTGAGTCTCAGCCCCTGGGCTGCTCTTCCCGCCCCCAGGAGGCTCACCCGGCCACTCTTTCCTCGGAATGATCCAGAGGTTGGGGTGGGAAACAGGCCCAGACTAGACAAAACACCCCTGCATGTGTTTGACCACCCCTTACTCTCTTGGCACAAGTCTGAAAAGGCTCCATGTTTGGTCATTGATTTGCTTCTGCGGAGAAATTGGTTTGCTCATTTTTAAATTTTTTGTTTTGGTTTGGATTTGGGCCACGCCCAGCAGTGATCGGGGTTTACTCCTGGTTCTGCGCTCAGGGATCACTCCTGGCAGGGCGCAGGGTACTATATGCAGTGCTGCGGGAGAAACCCAGGTCTGCCGCTTCCAAAGTAAATAAATGCCCTACCTGCTGGAGCCTATTTCTGTCCTCAACCTGCATTTTTCTTTTTATCAAGGCACTGTGATTTACAAGGTTATTCCTAATTGAGTTTTAAACATACAATATTGCAGCACTGATCCCACCACCTGTGTCAGCTTCTTCCCACCAATGGTGGTTTTTTTTGGGTCATACCCAGCAATGTTCAGGGGTTACTCCTGGTTTTGCACTCAGGAATTACTCCTGGCAGTGCTCAAGGGACCATATGGGATACTGGGAATCAAATCCGGGTTGGCTATGTGCAAGGCAAACGCCCTACCCGCTGTGCTATCGCTCCAGTCCTGCGCCTGTATTTTTATCTTTGGTTTTTGATTTTGGAGCCACTCCTGGCGATGCTCAGGGGATATCTCCAATTCTGCACTCAGGGATCACTCCCAGCTGGGCTCAGGAGCCCATATGGGATGCCAGGGATCTATCCTGGGTCAGCCACGTACACACACCCAGTAAATGTCCTTTGTTTTTTTTTTTTACTGCCAACACTGTCCTCTGGGGAGATAGTCTATTTCCCTCTGTGTGAACAAGACAAGGTTCCAATAACTGATGCAGGGTGGAAATGGGGCACTTTGGGGGTTCCTCAAACCCTAACATTGGAGTCAGGATAAATAGCACAGCAGGATAAATAGCAAAGCCAGGTTGTGTGTGATCAACCTGGCTTTGACCCTAGGCAGCCCATATGGTCCTCTGAGCCCTGTCAGGATTGATCCCTGAGCTCAGAGCCAGGAGTAAGCCCTGAGCTAAACCACCAGGTGTGCCCCTGCCCCAAACCAAACTAAACGAAACAACAAACCCTGAAGTCGGCACGGTTCGAAAAATCTCCATGTTCGTTTGCTGAGCTCATTTTAGGACTAGACTTCCCAACAGAACCTTAACGGAATTTCCCCTAAAGGGAGCGTAAGATGTGTTCTTAAACCCAAGCAAGGGAAAAGTTTTGCCAGAAAATTGAAATGGCAAGGAAGTCTGGCAGTCGAGAACAGAGTGAGGTGCCACCCGCCTGGAAAAAGGGAGAAAAGCTGCTGCCAGTCTGGATGGAGGACTTCCTGGAGGCGCTGGCATTCGAATTCTAGACACAGAGAGAGGAGAACCCTACCCATGCTGGGTGAGGAGGAAGAGAAGGAGGAGACTACAGAGAAGGAGGCCCTCGGAGCCACGGGAGGGTCAGGAGCGAGAAGATGAGAGGAGGAATGAAGCAGAAAACGCCTCTAGCCAGCAAACATGGTCCACGGAGCTTGACCTTTAGGGCACTTCAGTTTCAGCTGAGTGGGTGAGACATGGGTAGCATGACCCAGTCTCCGAGCACTATCTCCTGAGGACCTACTGCGTGGGAGAGAGAAACATCCTGCTTCCGTTAACTTACACTCTGGCGGGGCAGTGGAGGAGGGAGCAGAGAGCGAGCACTTTGTCCCCTTTCCCTTCGAGGGGAGGGCTGAGGGTCACACAGGGGCTTGTCACAGGGGCAGGGCTGCTGGGAGTTGCACACTTTTGCTGCGGGTACACATACATGCTAGCGAGGGGAAGTCTCTGCTGGGGGCGCGCACAGTCTTGACCGTGAGACTCAAACTTGTCTCTTTTTTTTCCTTTTTGGGTCATACCCGGCAGTGCACAGGGGTTATCCTGGCTCTGCACTCAGGAATTACTCCTGGTGGTGCTCGGGGGACCATCTGGGATGCTGGGAATCAAACAGGGGTCTGCTGCATGCAAGGCAAACACCCTACCCACTGTACCATCACTCCAGCCCTTTAGACTTATTTCTTAAGTTGCAAAACACTGGCTGAAAGTCACTACTCTGGATTTTTTGTTTGACTTTGTTGTTGGTTTGACCGGGATGTTGGGCTTTGGCTCTGCCCCCAGGAATCACTCCTGATAGGTTCAGGGGAACCATATGATGCTGGGGATCGAACCCAGGTTGGCCACGTGCAAGGCAAAAGCCTACCCACTGTCCTAACTTATTTCTCCGTCCCACTGCGCTGCAGTTGTGAGACTTAGGCTGGAGAGAGAACGCAGGAGGTAAGTCACTTGCCTTGCATGCATCTGGCCTTGGTTCTCTCCTCAGCACCCCATATGGTCCCCTAAGCACTAAGCACTGCCAGGGGTGATTCCTGAGCACTGAGCCAGGAGAAAGCCCTTGAGCACTGACAGATGTGACTCCCATACTCCAAAAGTCAAATCAGATCATTGTGATATCCAGCAGAGTCTGGTTCTAATGCTCGCAGGGCGCTGAGGTGGCCGCACATGGCTGCCCAGAGGTCACCCTCCTGGCCCTTGTGTGAAATTGCTTGTGACAACGGGGCTCAAAGCTGCCAGAACTAGAATCTGTGCTGGGCATCGAACTCACAGCCTCACGCTCACAGATAGGTTTGAGGCACTGAACCACCTCCCACCCCTAAATGAATTCCTAGCAGCTTTAATCCGATGAGCGCAATGGAGTGGAGCTGGGGGAATAGAATCTGCCGACAGAGAGGGTGGTCAGCTAGCACAGGCTTCTGCCAAGGGCAGGGTCATTGTGACTTACTGTCGGGAGAGACTGGGCAGTGCAGAGCAGCAGCCAAGGAGAGGCTGGAGATGGAGAAAGGAGCAAACGCAAAGGCAGGAAAGAGCTTGCCCCTGGATCGTCCCTGGATCAGCAAGTACTCAGAGGTCCAGGAGCGCCAAAAGAGTTCTGGGATTTTCTCTTTCCAGAAGCCAGAAACCTTCTTGACACCCAGCAACACCCAGTTTCTGCCTGTTGTGGACTCCAACATCTTAGATGAGAACCTGGGTTCCATCCGCGAGTCCTGGTCTAAGTCCAGAGTGAGATCCAAGACAGAGGAGGAGCTGCCGGAACCCGGCCAGGAAACAGTGAGTGACCACCCCCCCCCCAGGATCAGGAGGGCTGGAGGAGTCGGGTGGCCACCATCCTCGCCATCCATGTGGCAGGCGGACTTCACACTGGGGGCACTCCAGGAGTCACCCCAAAAATAACTGGTAGAACCTGTGTCTCCTCCCCTTGTGAATGGTGATCTCTCCCCGTCCCCCCAAACCCAATAGGCTGTGTGTGTGTTTCTTTCTCTTGCAACACTTGTCTGTCTCAGAGTTGCTGCCGAATCCTAGCTCCAGGTGAATGGGAAGCCCCGCCACACCCCCCTACCCCCACTCCAGGAATTAGATTTAACTTTAGGGGGAAAAAAAAAACACCAGTTCTTGACTTTTAAAAGAAGGGGCGGGGGCCAAAAAGATAGCCCAATGGGTAGGGCTTAGCCACTAACTCAGGTTTGATCCCCAGCATCCTATATGGTCCCTGAGCCCTGCCACGAGTGATCCCTGAGCAGAGAGCCAAGAATGAAGCCCTAAGAATCTCTGAGTGGGCCCCAAGTAAAGAGGCAAATAAAAAGGGGGGATGGGGTGACTGCTGGCCAGGAGAATCCTGCCTTGGGTCACTGTCTGCTTTTGACCTTGGTGAGCAGATGCTGGGGGCCGGGGCTTGGAGGGCAGGCGGGTGGGCGTCTCAGCCTGGTGGGGGTGTCCCTAAAGAGTTCTGGCCCCTGAAGGGAGGAAGGACAGAGCAGCCCCAGCCCCAGGTCTGCACTCACGCCTGGCTTTCCCTTTCTCCACAGCGCAGCCCCTGGGGGGCGCTGCTCTGCAGGCTACGGAGAAAAGGCCGGCGAGTGGGCTGCAGGGGGACCTGGGCTCGGGACCCCTCCCCCGACAGCCTCCTCATCTTCCCAGGGCACTTCTGCACCTTTCTGGAGCAGGTCCCTCCAGACGACTAATGAGGGGCGCTGGCTGCAGGGCTCAGAGCTCCCGTGGCCCCACCCCCCCACCTCCTTCCCTCGGCCCATGAACTGCCCATTCGCCCAGGGAAGGGGCCGGGAAGGAAGTTTCTGACCCGTCTGGAGACTTGGGTCTGCACAAATAAATGTCCTGCTGGTCTGTGGGTCCCCTTCCTGCGCCTCTGACATAGAGAAGGGGAGAGGGAGCCGGAAGAGGCCAGAGGAGTCAGGGCAGAGGGAAGAAGACGATGAAGACCTTCCCTCCCGGTCAGAGCGGCCTGCCTCCCACCAAGTCAGTCACCCCGGCCCGCCAGAGCAGACCTCTGGCAGAGAGTCAAAGGAGTCTCTTACCTCAAGGGGCTTGGGGGCGTTAGACAGAAGGGTATGGGGGCTCTGGCCCTGGAGTCTTCACTCCGCTGCCTAAGTGGGTTGAGTGAATGCTCGTTATGTGGGAGGCCTGGGTACCAGCCCCAGCCCCGCACACTTCCCTGAGCACCGCCAGGTGTGATCCTTGACCTTTGTCCCCCAGAAGAGCCAGAGCTGTGATGGTGAAATAATGACTGATGATGGTGGTGATGATGGTGATGGTGGTGATGATGATGATGATGATGGTGATGATGATGATGATGATGGTGGTGATGATGATGATGGTGATGATGATGATGATGGTGATGATGGTGATGATGATGATGATGATGATGGTGATGATGATGATGATGGTGATGATGATGATGATGATGATGATGATGGTGATGATGATGATGATGGTGATGATGATGATGATGGTGATGGTGATGATGATGGTGATGATGATGATGATGATGATGGTGATGATGATGGTGATGATGATGATGGTGATGATGATGATGATGATGATGATGGTGATGATGATGGTGATGATGATGATGATGGTGATGATGGTGATGATGGTGATGATGATGGTGATGATGATGATGATGGTGATGATGGTGATGATGGTGATGATGATGATGATGATGATGGTGATGATGATGGTGATGATGATGATGATGATGATGATGATGGTGATGATGGTGATGATGATGGTGATGATGGTGATGATGATGGTGATGATGATGATGATGGTGATGATGATGGTGATGATGATGATGATGATGATGATGGTGATGATGATGATGATGGTGATGATGATGGTGATGATGATGATGATGGTGATGATGATGATGATGATGATGATGATGATGATGGTGATGATGATGATGATGGTGATGATGATGGTGATGATGATGGTGATGATGGTGATGATGATGATGGTGATGATGATGATGATGGTGATGATGATGATGATGATGGTGATGATGGTGGTGATGGTGATGATGATGATGATGATGGTGGTGATGATGGTGATGATGATGATGATGATGGTGATGATGATGATGATGATGGTGATGATGGTGATGATGATGGTGATGATGGTGATGATGATGATGATGATGGTGATGATGATGGTGATGATGATGACGATGGTGATGATGATGATGATGGTGATGATGATGATGATGATGGTGATGATGATGATGATGGTGATGATGATGGTGATGATGATGATGATGATGATGGTGATGATGGTGATGATGATGATGATGATGGTGATGATGATGGTGATGATGATGATGATGGTGATGATGATGGTGATGATGATGATGATGGTGATGATGATGGTGATGATGATGATGATGGTGATGATGATGATGATGGTGATGATGATGATGATAGGTAAAAGCAGAGCCAAGGAGATAAAGGTCTTCAACGCCAGGGTGGATCAATAATCGGGCAATTCCAACCTGATTTCCAGTCTCTGGAAGGCACTTAGCACCTCCCAGAGAGCACCCCCGGCTAGTCCTGATCTGCTCTTAAGGATGAAGTCCTAGAAAGGGGCCCTGGGCTGCAGTGTGGACGGAGGGGCTGAGCCAGCAGGAGGCATTGCTGGGGCAAGGGGTTCAGTGACCACAGTAGGGAGAAGAATGTGTGGATAAGTGGGTCTGGGCCCTTGTCCCTGACACATTAGTGTTGCTGGAGCACTCTGGAGCTTTACAACAGGACCTTAGAACGGGAGGGAGTGGCAGGAGTGATCGCACAGCGGGCAGGGCGTTTGTTTGCCTTGCAAGCTGCTGACCTGGGTTTGGTCCCTGCACGTGGTCTGGTCTCCTAAACCTGCTAGGAGTGATCCCCCCTGAGCACAGAGCCAGCCAGGAGGACTAAGCCCTGAGCACCACCGGGTGGCCCAAAACAAAGAAAAGGAATATAAAGAAAGAGGGAAGAGCATGGAAGGGCTCCTGGAGGAGGCGGCTCTGCTTGGGCGGAACAGGAGCAGAAGAGCCACGAGCCCAGCTGCCGTCTGAGGCTGTCGCACCAAACACACCCGCCCCTTCTCTGGCTTGCACTCTCTCCCTCTCTCTTTCTCCCCCCCCATCTCTCCCTCTGTCTCTCCCTCTGTCTCTCCCTCTGTCTCTCCCTCTGTCTCTCCCTCTCTCTCCCTCTCTCCCTCTTTTTCTCTCCCTCTCTTGCTCTCCATATCTCCCTCTCTTATTTCCCCCTCTTTCATTCTCTCACTCTCTCTTTCCCTCTCTCTGTCTCTCTTTTATCTTTCTTTCATTCTCTCTCTCCCTGTTTCTCTTTCTCCTGCTGTTCCCCTGAACCCCCCTTCCCTCTCCCGCCCTCCCACCTTCCTTGCTCAGAGGAGATTTGTGGCAGACCAGAGGGCCCTCTACCAGGTGATGAATAATTGACCAGGGTTGTTTAAAGATTCAGTGGAGTTTTCCCAGCCTCGGCATGCGGAATAACTCATTTCTCTCGCTCCCCCTTTGAAAGCCTGTTCCTCCCTCCTCCCCTTCTCACACCCCTAGGCCCACAGCTTCTGAACTCTGGTTCTCTCCCTTCCTGAGCCTCAGAACAACTCTGACCCTCTCTGGCTTCAGCCCCTCTCCGTCTAGCTTCTGCGGGTGGGAAGCCATATCCCCTCCACACCCCACACACCCAGCCTTGCCCTGACCCTCTGCACCCACCGGCCTGGCCTCGCCTGTGTGCCTGGCGCTGCCCCCAGGGGGCTGACCCAGATGCCCAGGACGTGCTGAGCTAAATTCCAGACAGTCCCAGAAACCCAGGACGGGGTTCACAGGCCATGTAAATAAGATGCGGATCCAGCTCCCCTGCCCAGCCCTGCCCGGCCCTGCCCCGCCGTCCTGGGCCCACAGCATCCGCACTCCTGTGTCCTTGGACCCCATCCAGGATCCTCCTCCTGTGGAGGACAACTGGGACCCACTTCCCTGGCCTCTGTAACGGAGCTTGGGCTGTGGCGGTTCCATGTAATGTCTGGGAGCAGCGTGGGCTCGCAGGGCACCCCAGGGCCAGCAAAGGTCCTGATGGAAGCCCCTCCATGAGGCTCCGGCATGGGCACTGCCCGCAGTGGGTCAGCGAGCATCAGGGCCCTCATCCCGGGAACCCACCCAGGAGAGAAGCAGCGCCCCTGACCCTAAGGGCTGAGTCCCACGAGACCCAGATCTTCCCGAGCCACAGAGGCAGAGAAGGTGCAAGAGAAAAAAAGAAAACGTAGGCAACTGGCACCCATCTCCAGTCCCAGGCCCCTGGAGACCCTGTTCTGGCCCCCACTTGCCTTCACTGCTGAAACACCTGTGTCACCCACTGTCCCCTCCAGCATACCAGCGTCTGCGTGCCCGGCACGCCCAGGCTCCATCTTGGGGTCCCAGTCACCTCCCACAAATACCCAGTTCTGTCCACTTGGTACCGAGGTCCCCCAGGATGACATCACACACAGGCACCCTCACAGGCAGGGGCTCCAGGGGGTCCTCAGCACCCCACTTCCACCCCAGAGCTATCACCCCCACCAGCTAGTACTGGAGGTTCTGAAAAAGAAGTGCTGACCCCATGTGGCAGGGTCACTAAGACCTCCTCCTCTTCCTCCTGAGGCCACAGGGAGGGAAGGGGACGGAGAGAGCTTGGGGTGGGGGCTGCAGTAGGTAGCACAGCAGGTGGGCACTAGCC